TATTTCAATTCTGACTCTCGCGTCTCAAATGTTACTTAAGAGGAAGGATGTGAGCAAAGTTTGGCATACAACAATTCCCTCTCTTCTCATAAATAAACAGTAAAAACAGTTAAAGCTCATAAATAAACAGTAAAAGCGCATAAACGCAAATCTAACGTAAATTTATTCTAACTGAATGCATGCGAGGAATAAATTAAAACATTACAAAACAAAATTACTGGCCTTTAACTGTATCTGTATTTACAAGTCTAAATACTTTATAAGCAAAGCTTTACTTATAATACAAGCTAACATCTTGAAATTCTAATTTATTCTCAATCTGAGTTTTTTTACTAACAGGCATGCGAGATAAGCCAAACGTTGATCCAAACACTTATATGGTTATGAACTCTTTCTTTGCTATTATGCTAAACTGCTTGCTACTCATATCTGTATACTTCTCTAGAACAAGCGAGTTCACGACGAAATGAGGCATATAGAAAAGATGTAAATTCAACTTAATTAATTAAACCGTAACGTAATACCCGAATGTTTAATATAGCCTTAAAATTAAATAATTTTATTTCGATTTCTTCCTTTTTAAAACCATCAATAATTTTGATCACATTCAGAATACGCAATAAAATTATATTTGCGAACTATGAGGATTAAATTAAAATTACAAAATTTGATTGCTTAAAATATATGCAATGTATTTCTAACTGGGTTTAACAGAATAAAAACTAACAAATACGACTAATTCAAAAAATAAACTAAATATGAGTTTTTGGCTTCAAGGATATTTGGTGCTACTTTGGTAGACGGTTGCACGGATTTTTGGCGATTTACGTTGGGCGAATTGTTGGCGCGATTTTTACAAATGTCAGCCATCTTGAAAAACACTATTTTTATGCATAGTAAAGTATTCGAAACTTAAAAAATAAATAAATATCGTTAAAAGTAATGGATTAATTTTTTGTTGAAAATGTCATTTTTTAAGATGGCAGGCAAGTGTAAATAAATACATTTACTATGAGTATAAAATACTAAAGTAAGGTTATTATTACTTTCATCTAGCAAAGAAGAGAATAAAAACACCGCTATAAAAACTTTGGCCAACGTTTAATTAGATTAAAATATTACTGAAATTTATATCGAATTAAAAACCATCATACCAACATTTAAAAGAATTAGAATATTATTAAATTCAAATACTTTAAAATACGTTATATAGAATATAATTAACATTAAAACATATGGACAATAATTATCTCAGCAATTTCTGAAAATAGTGTATTAATTTTTTTAACAAAAATTGAAGTATACAATTATAAAATAAAAGAAAAATATGTACTTACATTTTTTTGAGTGTTTAACCTGTTGTTTATTCATAAGTACCGCAATAAAAAATCAGAATCATAATTTAGATAAGATCTTTGAAGACATCTTTGAAGGAATTCGAAGATATAAATTAAATTTTAAAACGGCGCGGAAATGCACAAATTGTCAGTAACCAATCAGGGAGCTGATTACAGCTCGTTAATGCACAAATATTCTATAACCAATCAGAGAGCTTATTACATCACGGCTAGAATTAAAATTATTTAAAAATTCATACGTAATAAAATCATTTAAAAAAAATGCAAAATTAAATTGTATTTTAATATTTAAGAGCCGTAAATAATGTTTAAAACATTAGATTAAATTTATACATATTAAAACGAATTACTTTTAAAGTAAGGTGACGCCATTGCTTACATCATCCACAACATAAAATTTCATAAAATATGATAAACAATAAAATTTTTATTTCAAATAAAAATGCAAAATTTAATTGATTTTTAATATTTAAAGCCATAAATAATATTTTAAACACGGAATTTATGCACAATAAAACGCACTATTTTTTAAATAAAATGACAACAAAGTATCGGTTACCATAAATAACTTATCCAGCAATGGGTTTACCATAAGTTGTATTACTCGCCAAAGGAAAATCCCCAAAAAATCGCCAAAATCCGTGCAACCGTCTACCAAAGTAGCACTCAGAAAAGTAGTAACTTGTTTAATATAATAAAACGCTGATGAAATAAAATATAAATATAATGACATCGTTGGGTGGAGATAAAAATTCTATATATTAAACACTGAAACTATTTCTCAGTTTCAGTGTTTACAATTGCATTATTCTTTACACACCCTGTCCTAATAGGCTGCCATAGTAATAGAACGAGTAAAAAGTAATGGCATAGAACACCCACCCTTTTCCACAGTAATCTGCTGCGAAATCAGAATATACGGAAAGAGGAAATTAAGCCTTGCAAGGACAAGAATGCTTTGTGTTATACTATTCAAATATAGCCTTTGTTTAATTTTAATGTTAACTCCACTGAAACACTAAAGCATTAAAGCATTAAGAAATATAGTTTAAATTTTAACTATGAATATTCTTTAGTAGACCGAAAGAACACATATGTAGAAAAAATCGCATATAATTTATTTAGTATTTAAAATGTTGGTCGACAAGAAGATCATAGTCTCCAACTAACTTCGGGAGGTCGACTAGCGTAAAAAAAACGTTTTATATATCTTCTAGACGGTGAAATGTCAACACAGCTAACGATGCTACTTTGGTAGACGGTTGCACGGATTTTGGCGATTTTTTGGCGATTTTCTTTTGGAGAGTAATACGACTTATGGTAAACCCATTGCTGGATAAGTTATTTATGGTAACCGATACTTTGTTGTCATTTTATTTAAAAAATAATGCGGTACTTTTCCGTTTTGCCGGCGCAAGCGATAAAGTCGACAATAATGGTACAACCGATGCCAAACGGAATATTCTCGCTGGTAACCTTTTACGCCTCATTTTCAAAACAAGTCGCAGCTTTTTTTTATCAGATTGATTGTTTCTTTCAATACTGGCATATAATTACATAGAATTTTTATCAGATAGTTCAGTTTTATGTCTAAAGCCATTTTCGGTAATTAGGTCAATTAGGATGCAATCACAGCGCTTACCCGAAGCCGAAAATATAGAAAAGAAAAGTCAAGGGTTAAATTCATCAATTCTAATGAGAATGCATTAGTGAAGTAAAGCACTGCAGTTTTACATAATTTCTGAGTAAGCTATTCGTACGCATTGAAATATTTCTTGCATTTAAACTTGTGTTCCAAATTAAGATTTAACTTGAAATTAATGTAGATAATTACGGAGAGCATTAGATTTTTGTAGAGTAGTTTACGTGAGATGAGATCGCTTGGAGTCACGTGATATGAACCGGCGAATTAGGATGTTGAACCATGAAAGCATAGTAAATTCTTAAATTAATGTCTTTTTACAAATTTATTGTCTTTATTTATTGGCTTTTTATAAAGTTTTAAGCGATATTAAAATGTTTATGCCTTCAAAAAAAAAAAAAAATTCTTAGAACTAAAATTTTTTATGTGTATACTGTATGTTGTCGCCAATAAAGTCTGCTTGGCGAGATTTGCGCCGGCGAAACGGAAAAGTACCAATAATGCGTTTTATTATGCATCCATGTTTTAAATATTATTTATGGCTCCTAAATATTAAAATTAATTTAATTTTGCATTTTTATTTGAAACAAAAATTTTGTTGTTTATAATATTTTATATAATTTTATGTTGTGGATGATGTAATCAATGATGTCACCTTTCTTAAAAAGTAATTGGTTTTATTAGTATCTATAAATTTAATCTAATGTTTTAAACATTATTTATGGCTGTTAAATATTAAAATACAATTTAATTTTGCATTTGTTTTTAAAAATGATTTTATTATGAACGATTATTTAAATAATTTAATTCTAGGCGTAATGTAATCAGCTTTCTGATTGGTTATAGAATATTTTTGCATTAACGAGCTGTAATCAGCTCCCTGATAGGTTGCTGAAAAATTTGTGCATTACCGCTCCCGCGCCATTTTAAAATTTAATTCATATCTTCGAATTCCTTCAAAAATGTCTCCTTCAAATTCTTGGATGAATGTTGTTTTTGATAAGTACCAAGAATTATTGGTATCGGAATCAAAAATTGTCCTTTGAGACCTTATTTTGGCCAGCCTGGCTTTCCTAATCAAAGATTTATTTATAAATTCTTTCAAGGGTCAGAGGAAATTTATTTTAAATTTTTTGAGGAAACCTCGATCACAGATGAAGATCGTTAGAAGAGCCCACTCTGCAGACGGCCTTATATGGTATTGTGGTCATGTTGTAAGAAATAATCGCTGTAAAGGTAAGAAAAATACTAGACATTCCTCCTTTTTGACCGACAAGAAACTAATTGCTGTAATTTTAGCTTTAAAATAAGTAAATAAGAACGCTTACGAAACCTTCTTATTTACTTATTTTAAAGTATTTAATTTAAGTAATATTTTAATTCTTTGAAATGTTGGTATGATGGTTTTTAATTCGATATTCAATTTACGTAATATTTTAATCCAATTAAACGTTGGCGTAATGTTTTTTATAGCGGTATTTTATTCTATTTTTGTGCTTATGAAAGTAATAATTTAACCTTTCTTTAGTATTTTATACTCGTAGTAAATGTATTTATTTACATTTGCTTGCCATGTTAAAAAACAACGTTTTCAACAAAAAAATTAATCTATAATTTCTAACGATATTTATTTTTTTAAAGTTTCGAATACTTTACTATGCGGAAAATAACGTAAAAACGGCGTTTTTCAAGACGGCTGACGATTGTAAAAACCGCGCCAAAGTAAATCGCCAAAAATCCGTGCAACCGCCTACCAAGGTAGTACCCAGCCAACCATCAAATAAACAGACACAGATTCAAATAGTTTAAGATTATGTCACTATTTGTGAGTGATTAAATTAAAATATGCACCATACAATTAGCAGTCAATCTGGACCTTGCTTCAACACAAATAACTGACAAAGAACTTTTACGAAAGATGTAAGTTCAACAATTTAAATCTAACATATGCAGAGATTAAAGATTAAGCACAAGACAGATTTTCGAACACACACACTTACCAGCAGGATTTAACTTTGTCTTAATGGAATTTCTTGCTGGGAATAATTTCTTGCTGGGAGTAATCCCAGAAAGAAATCTCTTCTCTTATTGGCAATCTGTAGACCAAAACTCTCAGATTCTTATTCTTAAAATTCTAGACTGTATAGCAAAACCGCTTGCTCAATAAAAGTCTATAAAAATTTGAGAGAACCTCGTGGCGAAAAGTGGCAGAAGAAAGTGATTAAATTAAATTAATATTGCGTTAGCAAAACTTACAAGCAAATGTCACAATATGTCCAAGCTGTGGCTTTTAATACGGTATATAGTGTTACGAATTTGGTATTTAAAAAGCTAATGTTAGTTCAATTATAATTTAAATAATTTTATTTCTCGCGCAGTGCAGCGCGTGACGAATATTAAAAGAAAGCTAAGCCGGAAAAATTGAAAATACAAGAGCGCGTGCATTAAATAAATAAATATGTCTTTTTGATTTCGAGAAAGTACCAGAAAATTCTAGCGCGTGATTTTTAAAATCTTATAAAAAGGACGAAAACATCTCAGTTCGTAGTCGAGTTCGTATTATTATTTTGCTCTACGAGTGTGATTCTAAAATTGAGGAAGTGAAGGAAAATTTATTTATAAATAGTAAGTGTTTTTCGTTGGTCCCTTTCGAGAGGTGTACTTGGAGTAGCTCATCTGGACAAGTTCGTGAGTATATTTTTGATTTCTACGCTTTCATTATGGACATTGTCTTGTACATCGATAGGATAGCTTGACTTGGTAAATATGGATGAGATAAATGATTTAGCAGTCCTTAATAAGCGCGATATTGTTGAGAATATTCTTAAACATGGCACGATTGAGGATTGTAGGCAGATTATGGCTGAGTTTAACTTAGCGTTTAACACGCTTAGAAATGGCTTACGGAAAATCACCCCAGAAATGGAGCAATGGCTCCAAAAAACCTATGCAGAGCTTGAGAAGTGTGTAGCGATTAAACAAGCTGCAGGAGATTCAGTGCAAAATATCTGCGGTAGCATCCCGTTAGTTAATACTAGCAATGATTCGACATCTAATCAAACTACAAAGCAACCCAAACCAGTTTCAAATGTTATTCAGGAAATAAGCAAAATAAATAATTATAATGAAAAATGGATTACACCCAAAAAATACCACAAACGCACACTTAGTGAAAGCAGCAACGCTTCAATGACGTCAACCAAAAATAAATACGCTTCACTAAAAATAGATGATAAAATGGACACTACAAATGTTAGTTCGCTAAACTCACAAGAAGACAGTACTAATAATGAAGGTGATTTCATTACGCCCAACAAAAAGGCTAACAGAATTCCGCCGATTATCATTTCAGATGTCACGGACTGGAAAGCCCTCAGAGATAATATTAAGCAATTTACCATATCCATGGAATGTGTACAGAAAGGTGGTGATATCCACATTAAAGTAAAATCGGACACTGAGTATCGTGAAGTCACGAGATACCTAGACGAAAAGGAAATTCCTTACCATACCTTTCCCTCTCCCTCAGGATAAACCGATAAGAGTTGTAATCAAAAAATTATCTGTTCACACCAAACCCGAGGACATTATGGAAGAACTAATAGATAATAACATCCCGGTTAAAACAGTAAGACAAGTTACCAAGAAAATAGACAATGAAATTGTCAAACTACCCACTTTCATGGTTGAAGTCAAACGCAGCATAGAAGGCAAGAAAATATACAACATAACGCATATTCTAGATTTGGCTGTTAAAATTACTCCCTTCAGACCCACTCCAGGACACAAACAGTGTCACCACTGTCAGAGGTATGGCCACAGTCGTGCTCACTGTAAGCACAAGCCCAGGTGTTTAAAATGCGGGCAAAACCATATTACTACTACATGCACAAAAGACAGAAACTTACCCGGCAAATGTTGCCTCTGCGGAGGCCCCCACATTAGTTCGTACCGTGGTTGCGAAATGCATCCGGATAACTTGAAAAGAAAAATTGCAGAAAAAGAATTCCAAAAAGAAGCGAGAAAAACTTCAAAAAATAATCCCCCTGATATCAACTTAGAAAATTTCCCACCTCTGCCAAGAAGAAACATAACCCAAAATAGCAGTGAAAATGTTAATGAGCAGAATGCTTCATCCACCAATCAGGACGCAGCTGTCGAAAGTGAGAACTTAGGCTCCGTTTCCGATTTCATAATTTGGCTGAAGAAATTATTCCTGCAAGGAAAAAATCTCTTCGAGCGGTTCTTAAAATCTAAATCAATATTGGAAAAAATCCAAGTCGGCTGGGAAGCCTTTGAACTTTTATCAAGCATCAATTATGAATTTTAACCACATTAACAGTAATTCAAGAACTCACCTCACTGCCCCCAGCAGTTTAAACCTCGCATTTTTTAACGCCAACGGTATTCGCCACAAGAACGTTGAAGTTGCAAACTTCCTTAATCACCATAATATTGATGTGTTTCTAGTGAATGAAACTTGGCTCAGACCTAATGATAAGTTCAAGATCAATGGTTACAACGCATTCAGGACGGACAGAGACCATAACAGGGGCGGCGGTACTATGATATTAATTAAAAGGCATCTGCACGCCAACGAGTTTAATATTCCCAATAGCAGCAGCATTGAAACCACTGCGATCGTTGTGCATTCGCGCACAAATGAGCCGATTGTCATCATCTCGGCTTATAATCCCCCCAGAAACATTCTCACCAACAATGACTTGCAAATTTTTAACAATATCACTCACCCTGTTATTATAGCAGGGGACCTGAATTCTAAACATCATAGCTGGAATTCTCAAAGAAATAACACAAATGGCAACAAACTTTATAGCTATGCTCTTACGAATGACCTTAGAATTTTTGGACCAACGGAACCTACCAGGTATCATCATACAGGCAGCTCGGATGTTCTCGACATTGTTATTACAAAAAATATCCAGCAAATCCCTTTCCTACAGGTGATTAATCAATTAACCTCTGACCATCTCCCTGTTAAATTTACTTACCATGGCTTTGAGAAGACCTTGCCTTTAAAGAAAATTATAAACTGGCAGAAATTCAATAATTCTCTGGAACAATTACCTGCACACCCGGCTCTTGCCGATATTGTAGACATTGAGTACAATATCACTAAGATCAATAGTAAAATTAAGAAAGCCCTTGATGATTCCACCAAATTCAAAGATTATAAGAAAGACAAGCTCCCCGACCACATCATTGAGAAAATAAAAGACAAAAACCGCACAGCAAAAATCTGGCGAAGAACAGGCGATCCCACTGTTAAAAGAAATCTGAACAGAAAAATTAGGAACATCAAGACCCTCCTCCTAGAGTACAGATCAAATTGTTGGGACGATTTCTTAGACTCCATGGATTTCTCTCCGAATACAGTCTGGCGTATTGGAAATTCCTTAAGGAATACTAATAACAGAAATATTGGTCCTCTCCACACCAGTAGTGGAATTGCTTATTCTGAACATGACATGGCTGAAGCCCTTGCGCAGCATCTAGAAAAGACTTTCACCAATCATGCCTCTAATAATGATGAGACAGATGAAGAAGTCGATAATTTCATTAACCACCTAGCTGACAGAAATTGTAATAATCACTTCAACCCAACTTCTCCAACAGAAATAAGTAATATAATTAGCAACTTAAAGTCCAGGAAAGCTCCCGGCTACGATAGCATCACCAATACGGTTCTCAAAGCTCTCCCAAGAACCTACATAGTCCTCATTACAAACATAGTCAATGCTTGTATGAGGCTCAATTACTTTCCGCAACAGTGGAAGCACGCGCAGATAATTACGTTTGTCAAGCCGGGGAAAAACCCAAAGGACTTAAACTCCTACCGTCCGATCAGCCTTCTCCCCAGTTTGGGAAAGGTATTTGAGCGTGTGCTCCAAAAGAGATTAACTCAACATCTAGAGGATAAGGAAATTATATGTAAAGAGCAGTTTGGTTTTAGAGCCGGTCATAGTACCGTGCACCAACTACTGAACGTTACAGAATTTATTGCAGACTCCTTCGCAAAAAAGAACACAATCGCCAGCTGCTTTCTAGACCTAGAAAAAGCATTTGACAAGGTGTGGCATGAGGGTCTCCTCTACAAGCTGCACCTTGTTCATCTGCCCATCAGTTTTATTAAGCTCATGAAAAGCTATCTTAAAAACAGGACCTTTCAGGTAAAAATTAATGACTCTCTCTCTTCAAGAAAAAGAATTAAAAGCGGAGTGGCTCAAGGAAGCGTTCTGGGACCGCTTCTGTTTAATATCTACACGAATGATATGCCGGTTCCTTTGAATGCAAAAGTAGTGAAATATGCCGACGACACAGCAATTTTAACCAAGTCGCTAAAACCTCAGCTCGCTGTAGATAAACTTGAAAGCGCAGTAAATATCATAGCACACTATTATGATTCATGGAAATTAAAAGTAAATCCGTCAAAGAGCCAAATTCTCCTTTTCAGACGTCATCGGAAGTTCACTCCTGTGAATGTAAATATAAAAATTAATGATCAAGCCCTAGCAATTGTTTCAAGTACCAAGTATCTAGGAGTGGTCTTCGACTCACAGCTGTTATTCAAAGAACACACGGAGTATGCCTTGCGCAAAGCCACCGCTGCTAAAATGTCTCTTTACCCTTTAATAAGAAGAAATGCTAAATTAAATATCAGTCTCAAGAAGAAGATCTATACCAGCTTAATAAGACCCACCCTACTTTATGCAGTGCCTATCTGGGCCACTGTGTACAAGACTTATAGACACAAACTACAGGTCTTTCAGAACAAAATACTCAGACAAATTGTTGACTCCCCATGGTTCGTACGTAACCTGCAGATACATAAAGAACTAAAAATAAGACCCATAGCTGATCAAATTCTCACCACGAGCCACAATTTCTATGCTAAAATAGAACTTTCTCAATACGAACATATCCGTAATCTGATAAATTATGATCCTACTATAGAAATTGCAGCAAAGCGCCCAAGAGGCATCTTCCATAACAGCAAATGGTGAAATGTGTATATATTGTACATAGTACTATTATCTTTATTTTATCTTCATTGTGTCATTTTACCAGTGTCTTTGAAACTTTATAGACTTATGGACATGATCCGTGTACCTGGATCTTCAAAGCACATGATCTTATATTTGTCATTTTCGTAATCTTCTTATTGTTATATCAGAGACTTTGTAATATTGTGGACTTATGGACATGATCCGTGTACCTGGATCTTCAAAGCTCTGATTATTTATTGCTAGTGTA